TGGTTAGTGGTTAATGGTTAGAAGTTATTATCCCTAAGTTAGTAGAATTCGTCAATATCCGTATTAGAACCCGAGATCTCCAATTTAAGAGACAAAGCCTCTACCAAGTGGGCTAGACCTACATTTAGGCTTAGTTTATTGTAAAATGCTTAAGGTTACCACTAATTCCCAACATTAGCAGTGTATGGAAGTTACAATGATAACCGAATAGTTTGTCCAGTTGGTTAATGGGAAAATGACTTATAAATGTAACATATTTTATCTTTTGTACACATTTATTAATTAAGTTTTTTTTTTGTACAAAATTTTCCAATGCACTTGTTTGGACTATTCACAAAATGTCCTTATGACCGGTTGGTGTGGGTTTAGTCACGTTCTTTGTTGCTCCGGTGTGACTTTGGTCGTCTTCTCCGATGAGTATCCGACCAATTTTTTTCCATCATGTTGTAACACAAACAAGCAAAGTTTCAATTTATGGGGATGAACAATCTGCCTTTAATTCATGCACTCGAATATGAGCATATCATACGAAACTCAAATAAGACATCGAGCAAAGAATATATGATGAATTAAAATGAAAAACCCATTTGAACAGGCTGCAAAAAGTTTGAACAAGAACAATATGACAGATTTTGTTTCGATTTATGAACGTAGATTTCGTTTCCATTTCCAAACCCAAAACTCATTTGAACAATAACAAGCTGGTAGATGGATTTTGAGGTTAACAAGATGAATAAAAAGCATACATGAACTTGAATCCGAAAATCATACACACACATGAACTAAAATATAAAATCGAGTTCATACAAGAAGCACCAACATAGAAACATACATACATCAACTTTTCGAAATTTTCATAGAAGTACCAACTAGAAACATAAAAGCATCATTTTTTTCGGAAAAAAAACAACGAAATTGAATATTGTTTCATTTGATTTCAGACAAAAAATAAGGGAGAATTAAAGTACATGAGACAATATGTGGAGGCTGGTGGCGATGATCTGCTTGAAGGCTTTAGGGGAAAAAAGTCATTTAGGGATCAAATATTGGGCCAACCACATTTCAAGTAGGGATCGAGCACATTTCAAGTAGGGATTGAGTTAGGAGGCTGGCCGATAAATGCTTACCGGCTTAGACGAGATTAGCCATTTATCAAACAGGCTGCACCGAGTTAGACAAAAGTGTTGACCGAACCAATCAACTACATATCACACATGCCCTTAGTTGGACCAACTCCAGGACACTACTCCTTGATCCTCGCAATGGGTATTAAGGTTGTCCCTAGGCATATGCGGGGTATACAACCGCATAGGGACCTTGTCGTTTAAGGGGCTTAATTTTTTTACGCACATTAGTATTAGCAACAGATTAGTGACCGATTAGAACAAATTAGTGACAATTTTTGTTTTGATTAATTTCATAAAAATTATTTTTTTATCAATGATTTTTTACTTATATAAAAAAAATTATATTTAAATGCTCATATTTAATTTTCACATTTAACCTTCAAAATCAATGGATCAACTATTTTATCCTTTTATTTGTCATATTCAAGATCAAACTCATGTTATACAAATATATAATTTATACCATATGATTTATATCCCTTCTAGCACTCATATAAGATCCAATTACCCAAAATTGTGAAATAAACTATCTTGAATTTTATTAAATATCTTGAATTTTGAACAATTCATCCGAGGAGTGGCATTTGCACAAATTTAGATTTTTGCGTTGCTATGTACAACAAAAATTAAATACATCCCACCCCAATTCTATGCTCGCCTCTAAATGGAAGTTTCACATGTAGGGTTCATGGAACGCATTATACCAAAGGGGAGTGTTAGTTATTTAACAAGAGAATTATACAAGCATTAAATACAGTTATAAAAATATTAACAATAAAAAAATAAATATTAAATGTAACATTATATCATATCAGATTTCATAAATAAATCAATAAAACAAATATGATTTGAACATATTTTGTAAATTAAAAAAAGAATCCCATGGGTCTCTCCCACCATTTCCCGCCGGGCGGAGATTACGAACACACTAGGCCCAAGCAACTATAAATACCAATGACAGAAGCTCTCGTAGCAACGCTGCCGGAAAAAGCTCTAGCAACACTGCCGGAAAGCCTATCAGGTGCCGAGGTAAGATCTTCTACTCATGCTTCAGCACTCTAATTCCATTAACTTACATCGATAAAAAAAACTGTTTGAAATTTTGAAACTGCATGTTTTCCCGAGATACAAACAATTACCTAATGGATGAAGGCAACATCTGTAGTAATTTTTTATTTCTTTGAAGAATCAATGGAGGATTGTGTTTTTTGCAGCTGCGATTGCTAGGAAACCACGGGAACCGCTGGTGATAGAGGAAGTGATAGTGGCTGCACCAAAATCTCGCGAAGTTCGAATCAAAATCATATGCACATCGCTTTGCCATAGTGATATTAACTACTGGAAATTGGAGGTAGATAGTTGTTCGAGATCAAAATTTAAATCAATCGAGTGTTTTTGTTGATGTTAATTAACGATTGTTGTTTTCTCTTAAAGCGTCCTCCTGCAATTTTCCCCAGAATACTCGGTCATGAAGCAATTGGGTAAGAATCCATCAAAATTAGTAAACTGTTCATGTTAAATCTGTTGAATTGTGGTCCTAATTACATAAATTCATTCAAATTTTCTCCATTAAAGGGTTGTAGGGAGTATCGGTGAAGGTGTACATGAAGTTGTTGAAGGAGACACTGTGATCCCAATGTTTCTCCCAGATTGTGGTGAATGTGCAGATTGTTTGTCCAAAAAAAGCAACCTGTGTTCAAAATATCCTGTCCATTGTACTCCATGGGTGGGTAGAGATGAATCAAGCAGATTCACAGACATGAATGGAGAAACTTTATACCATTTCTTGCATGTATCAAGTTTTACTGAGTACACAGTGGTTGAAGTTGCTCGTGTAATCAAAGTTGATCCAGCAATCCCAGCAAACAGAGCCTACCTCTTAAGTTGTGGAGTATCAACTGGTAATTTTTTGCTTATTTTTATGCACTTTTTACTATATTTATGATATAGATTGGTGATAAAATGAAGATTATGCATTTGAGGAGTTGAGTTTATGAAAATAAATTATTTTATTTCAGGGTTAGGTGCTGCTTGGAAAGCTGCAAATGTGGAAATTGGAACAACAGTTGCTATATTTGGACTGGGTGCAATTGGGCTAGCTGTATGATTGATTCTTATCAACTTATATAAAGATTCAACTTTTGGGCCTTACATATAAAGGCTTTAATAAATTTTTGTAATCCAACATAATAAACACTACATACACAGAACTTTATAAAGTGCATATTATACATAAAAAAAACAATATAATTAAAATCATGAAAGGATGCCGAATATTTTTCTTATTTCACAATGTTGACATTAACAGGCCAAAATAGTTAATCAGGAAAAATGTGTTAATCTTTTATGGTTTGATTGGAAAAATAAAGTAATAATGGTTAAACCTAAAATATGATGTTTTTTATTGTGTAATTTCCCCTTTTTTTTCATATGACATATATATTGATGAGGGTAAAATGGGAATGATATTTGTTAAAGGTTGCTGAGGGAGCAAGGCTATGTGGAGCTAAAAGGATCATTGGAGTTGATGTGAACCAAGACAAACTTGAAATTGGTAACTTATTATAAATTTTTGGAAAAATATCAAAATTTCCAATTTTTAACATTAATCATTTCTTTATTATTGACAGGAAAGAAATTTGGAGTTACTGATTTTGTGAACCCGCGTAACATTGGGGACAAAACTGTCAGCCAGGTAATTTAATACATTATGCTTCATTTTAAAATTAATATCTTA